GAGGTAGACCGGCAATGCCACCGCCCAGTACCTGGTGCCAGCTTGGGCCAGTGAAGCAACGTCCTCCACAACTAGACTAAAGAACAAAAGGACAGCAACTTGTCTGTTCCCCTTCCCCCAATTCTCCAGCGCTGTTCCCATCCCCCAATTCCCCAATAAAAATCTTAAAAAAAAAAAAAGTGATTACACCAAAGGGGAAAAAAATAGATGTGGCGTGTTTCCAACTTAGCAGCAGGCTTTCATCAGCCTCCTAGGTAATACCGCTATTCTGGTGTTTTTCAGCAAACATTAGTGTTTCCTCATTTTGAACTTTATAATGGAATCATATGGCATATATATTCTTTCATGTCTTTTCCCCTGAAATTGTATCTGTGATAGTCATTCCTGTTGTTAGGTAGAGCAGTAATTCATTCTTGTTTCATGTCTGTTTTCCACTGAATAAACAGACCACAACTTATTTTCCATTCTACCCTTTATGAAGTTGGCAGGTCCCCTCAAACTGCTCTTAAGTGTAGTGACATGTTCTTAAATAATAAAAGGACTGGGACACACTGGGGAACAGGAACGGCCATTTCATGGCATCTATCTCACGCTTACTGGGCAGAGATATGGTTACTGAAATGAACTCCTAATTTTCCCAACTATTTAAAACTATTAGTTTTTCTTTGCCTTGCAGAAAGTATAGTTAAATCCGCACAGGTTAAGATGCGTGGCTCCAGTCCTGGGTAGAGATTTAGGGTGTCAAAAGCGAGAAGGTTTAGAATGCTAGATCAGTTTAGATTTGGTCCCGTGGCCAACTATGAGTGTACGCTTGTGAGTTACATATGGCTGTTTTTAAAAAACTTCTTTCTATCTAAGCTACTTAATCTTATATGAGACACATCCAGATATTAACAAGGCAGTATCATTCAAACTAATTCATATACCAAATCTTCTAACCCCCTCAACTGCACTGCCCCAAAATATGGGCTGGCTCAGTAAAATGCATAACCATCCATTCAGTTCCTTAATCCGAAAAAACCGAGGAATGACCTTTGATCACGACTTCTCTCAGTGGCCTGCCCACCCTGCACAAGCGGATCCATGTACCCAGGCCATCGACTGTGTCTCCAATGAATGCTGTAGAGCTGCCCCTCCTCCCCGCTCCGCAGCTACGGCTCTGAGGGGCACCAATTTCCTGCCTGACTCACACAACAGCCTCCTGACTGGCCTTCCTCCATACTCTTGCCACATTCCCAACACCCCCTCCCGAATCCATCCTCCATCTACCAGCCAGGGGCTTTTATTTCATTTCTTTTGGAATACTTGACCTTTATTTTATCTATGCATTAGGTGAGCCAGTGGCTTTTTACAATCATAAATTGGGCTGTCCTGCCTTTCCTTCAAGCCTGCCAGTAGCTCAGTATCTAAAGCGCAGCAGGCTCATCACACTGTCACTTAGATCCAGACTTCCTACACTGGCCTCCAAAGCCCTCTGAGGTCAGGGCTGGGTCGCTCCAGGCTCACCCCGGCCTACACGTCCTCAGCAACATGCCCGAGGCCCCCTCCTGACCTTCTGTCCTTAGGACACACCAAGCTCCTTCCACTTGAAGGTCGGTGCCCTAGCGGCTTCAACTTAGAAACTCATCCTGCCTCTCCAATCTTCATGTGACTGGCTCCTGTTTTTGCTAATCAAATCTCAGCCTCAAATGCCTTGCACTGAGCAGCCTACCCTGACCACTCAATCTGAAGCGGTCAACCTTTTACTTTCTAGAGCACTTACTATCTTCTCTGCATAGCACTCATCACAAAGAACATTTTCTTGTTTATTTTCTTGGTTTCCCTCCGTCTGCCTCTAAAATGTATACTCAACGCTACATCCCCAGGGCCTAGAAAAGTACCAAGTACACAGCAAGCACTCAATTCACTTGCTTGTGTCTTAGACATGAATCTGATGGCAGGACACACACGTTAGATGGACCCTTCCCCCAAATCTAAGAATCTGAGCTGTGGGCCACTAAGAATAAACAGCAGGAAGGGCACAACTGGCCTTTGAAAATGACATGAATGACTCTCTGATGACAAGAATGACTCTCTGGAGGGACTTCTCACTTCTACTGATACTAATTTTTTTAAAAAAGTCTGCTATATGGTAATGCAGTATTTTATTTATTCTGTCCATTAATAACGAATACTTGAGAACATTTATAATATTAATGGAACTTAATCTAAGAGAAGCTGAACTTCTCTTAGAAGTTCAAATATTTAAAGTTAAATATTTGAAGTTAAATATTTAAAGAAGAAGTTAAATATTTAAAGTATTTCAATACCAGGTATTCAGAAGAGAGATAATTATGGTCAAAATTATTATGTCAAAAACTTATAGTCGGTCTACATACAATTCAGGTGTTGGTAGAACATTCTTTGGTTGCGAGAAAGAACATTTGGTTTACTTCACTAATAGAAACATCTCTCAGTGCTGGGATGGCCTCTTCTTGGTATTCCTTCCGCTGCTGACTTTTAGCATAGTTATCTGTAAGAAGAGGACAAAAGGCTGTTTATCTCAGCAGTTTCTTCCATCGTCCCTCTGGTTTATGGAGGCTCACCACCTAATTTTCTAGGCAAATGTTTGGATAATGATAAACACCACATTTAAATACAATTAAAAGATGCCTCGAATTCTCTCTTTAGAAGAAATGTCCCAATTAGAATAGAAATCAGCAAAGTGTTTTTTTGCACCTCTGACTTGGATAAAAAATGTTTCAGTCAACTGTACAATGATGTAAAGTCCCATTTACACATTTCTCATAGGAACAGTATTCTATCCAGGCTTAGAAAATATATTTAAATCAACATCCGAAAACTATTAAGTCATTTGGAACGATCATTCGTACAAATTTAAGTTTCCTCTCTCTGCACAAATTGTCTATTTGCTGTAATTCCAGTCAAGAATGCAGGGAATACAGATTATCAGATAAGAAATATAAAAATACTAGAATTGATTTTCAAAATATATTGTATAGGCTCACGAAAAAAGGCTTTAAAAGGTTAAAAAAATCATATCAGAGTACTTAAAAATTATGTCACTTTCTAAAATCTAAGCAAGTTTAGGAATCTTATTTTAATCTTTAGACTTGAAATAAAGAATTATAAACAGAACTGCAGATGCTGTGGGTGTCTACCCAGTTAATTGGGCTTAGCTGTGTACTGTGATCCTGAGAAGGACACACCCCAAATCCCTCCTCCTGGACAAGGGTGCAGGGACCTACACGCCATCCCCCAATAGCACCGCCTGTTTGAGATACCGAGGAACATTTTTCCCACTTGCAGGTTTATGGGAAATACGCCTGTCATTAGTGCCATACACAGCACATTCATCAGAACTCATCTCCCCCATGCAAATGTCTCCTCTGGTGTAACTTTATGTTAGGTTCTCCTAGGTTCTTTTTCCTGTGCCAACATCGTGTCACTTGCTGCAGCCTATTCTCCGTTGCTTTTCTTCATACAAGCGCGCCAACAGCCCACTCCTCCCTCCCCCAGCACTTTCCTTCGATATAAACAGACCTGTGATTGTGTTGACGGAGTTCAGGGGACAGGTACTCAGCATGTTCATTCCAAATAAGAGCAGGTAACCAATCACTATAGTGATGAGGAGGTAGACCGGCAATGCCACCGCCCAGTACCTGCAGGAAGGTTCAAGTAGGTAATGGGTTTCCCAAAATGTTCTTAAGGGTCCATTATTAGGTTCACATAATAACTTAACATTTAAATTTTTATTAAAGTAACACATGTACATAAAAGATAGTCACAAAGTTCTACAAGGCCTGTAGTGAGAAGCTGCAATCCCCTATCCCATCGGACGGGACCCTGGAGCCTTACTCCCCACAAAGGACCACTTTTAACACCTGAGCTGTTTCTTCTGATATTTATCTCCATGTTGCTACACAATGTACTGGTTTTATTATTTCTGGATTTTTTTTTCAATTTCAGACACTTTCTTTGGACTTCCTACATGGAGATGAGGAATTCAGCTCTTTTATACTCTGACCTCTCACCTTCGTCCTATCCTCTTACCATACTGACATTACAATTTCTGGCCATATCTGCAATTTTTAAAAATTATTGTGACTGTATAAATAATGTTCACAACGGAGCGGCCTGGTATTATGTTTTCTTGTACAATTTTTTGTTTTTCCCGGAATTAGTAATTACATCTTTTTGCCTGTTTGCTTGGTTGCCCATGCACCTGGTCAACACTCAACCCTCGAGTTCTCTGATAGGACTAACATGCCTCTCAGCAGAAGTGAGCACATCAAGTCGTTTATTCTACTTTCTGGAGATTACCTTTGGTTTACCTTCTAACCCTTGAATTGAAATTTTAATTTTGGCTATCCCATTTATAATTTACAAAAATGTGAATTCCTTGACCATTCCCTTTTTATAGCGTTCTGTTCTTGTTTCATAGTTATTTTCTTCTGTTCCTTCCATTAGCTCCATTTCCTTCAAGTTCCTTTTTTTCTTTTGCATTTCATTTTGGAGGCTTTTAAAAATGTCTGAGAAGTTATGGCTCTCCACTCATAATGAAAAATGAAGTACTAACAAGGTAATTGGAAGGTCTGTGTATGTGTGGGCCGGGGTGGCGCACTGGCGAGCCTGGCCATTTCATTGGGGGACCTCCAAATGTCAGAGATTGGAGAGCCTTTCTTTTGAGCTGGTGACCTTCCTCAGGGAGGAACCTCCTGTGTTTTGCTGGGAGGGGTAGGGTGGTATAAGCCTGGCAACCACAAGCATGAGAGCCTCGTGAGGAAAGGTGCTTGGGGGGAAGCTTATATTCAGCAATGCAATGGTTTTCACTTATTTCCCTGTAAGGTGCTTCATTTCCATGCTCAGTTAGACCTAGAATTTGGAGACTCTTATTCAGCTTTCCAGAGAGTAAAACTCCTGTCTTCTGCAGGGGAGGGTCGGGTCAGTCTCCCCACTTTGAGGGCTGAGGAGGGGGATTTGAGGGTCTAATGCTCTTTAAACACTGTTTTCAGCCCAATCCAGAATTGCATGTTAATGTAATTACCTGGTGTCCTCCAACTTCTGAGCCTTTCTGGCAGTTAGGGCACAAATATTCACTTCAGCAGTATGGAGAAAGTGGAAACTAAGTCAGCTAGCTCTCAGCTATTTGCAATTCACCTCCCAAAATTTTGTTGATACTTCTTACTTGCTACCCCACTATTTGCTCCCATGGATGTACAGATTAAAAAATTTTTTTTTCTCTAGTGTTATTTTAGTTAGATGGGAGGAAATGGAGATAAATATTTGTGTTTACCCCATCATCTTTAATTAGAGGTATACCAATAAGACTGTTAAAAAGCTTTAAATTTCTATATGTCTATTTATGTATCTTAAGAGAATAAATATTTAAGATTTGGGTAGTCTTAAGGAAAAATATGATCCTTCAAAACAGCATTAATACACTCTTAATTTATTTAAGCAATATATTATTAGACTTACTTTTGAGGCCAATAGGTTAAGCCTATGTAGTTTAGCCAAGATTCGGGAATAAAAGCCCACACGAGATATAGTACTGTAGAAGAGAAGGTTAAAGAAAAAGGTCAGTAAGGCCTGCAGCTCATTTATCAAGGTTCAGATAAAACGAAAAAGCTCATGTGAAGCTTCCGCCATTCACTCAGAAATGATTTTTCCCTCCTTTCAGTTCTTCTAACTCCTAACTGTATCACTCTTATAACATTTATCACAATTACTTTATATTAGTCCCCTTTTTATTGGGGTAAAAAATAAAATTTACTGTAAAATTGAACCACGTTTAAGTGTACAGTTCAGTAGTGTTATGAATATTTACACTGCTGTGAAACACATCTCCAGAAACACATCTTTCATCTTGCAAATCTAAAAACTAATATCCATTGAATAACTCCCCTTTAGCTCCATTAGTCAGTTTTATAAAATAAGTCTTAACTCTCACACTATATTTTAAGCAATTTAAGGGCAGAAATCATGCCTTAGCAAGTCTTGTAATCCTTACAGCACCTAGTGATTTGCTTTACGCATAGTAGGTGTTCAACACTTCAGAAATAATTGTCGACATTGAGTTGCTTACAGATGAACTTATCTACCCTCGGTCTGGCCCACTCCCTCATGGGCTCTGCCTTATCTCTCAGAAGCCAGTCGTCTTTCCCTCCATCCACATCTCGCCTTAGAGGCGCCCTTTCATGTTGTCCCTACGTAGTAACAACAGCGAACTTCCGAGTATTCACTGTGGGGTAAGCACACTTCTAAGCACTTTATATGCTTTATTTCGTTTAATCCTCAGAACAATCCTATGAGGTATCATGCCATTTTTACAGATGAGGAGGTGGAATCTTAGAAATGTTACATCATCTGCCTAAGGCAAGTGGCAGAGACAAATTTCAAACTACCTACAGCAATGGTGACAAAGGGTTAATATTTTTCTCAACAAATGTGTATTACAGAGTTGTGTATGGCAGGAGTGTGAGATACAAGAGTAAACCCAAAAGGATGGCCTCTGCCCTCCATGAGCTTAAAATATAGCGGGGAACAGAGACGAGTGGCTATTTTCACTACCCTGTGACAAGCGCTCATGAGCGAGTAATAAAAGATGATACAGGGGCACATAAGAAGGACCTCAGCCCACACTGTGGTGATGAAGTCGATATTAATGGTCAGGAAAGACTTCCTGAAAGAAGTGACTGAATTGGAGCCTAAAGGAGGAATATGGGCTTAGCTAGATGAAAATGGCTGGGCCTGCAGATGGAAGGAAGGAAGGAAATAAGAGAAAATGGTATTTCATGCCATGATCTGTAAAGACAGCAAGAGAGATCTGATGTGGCTAGATGGTAGGGGGAAAAGGTGCAAGGGACTGGCTTGAAGCTTGAGATAGTTTTTAAGGTTAATAAAATACAAATAGTGAGGAGACAAAATAAATTCATAAATGGAAGTAATTTACTTAATTAAATGCATAAATGTCCTGAGCCTTTACTATATGCCAGGCATTATGTAAAGGTCAAGGCTACACAGAAAAATACGACACAGTCCCTATTCTCACGAATTAGGGCAGGAGACAGAAATGAGTCAAAGGTAATGGCAGGACCTTCACGTGCATTCTTACTTCACCCCCTCCAAACGCTTTTGAGGTGTGTGCTATTATCCCTAATCCACTGAAGAAAAAAATTGAGACTCAGGCAATGTAGGTAACTTGCCCAAGACCTCCCGGCTGAAAGTGACTGTGTAGGAATGTGAACCCAAGCAGTATATTCATGCTATGTTTTCAGGCAGCAGCAAGAGCATTAATAAAAACATGGAGGTGAGGAGAAGTGGGATGTATGTGGGCAAAACTGGCAGCAGTTTAGAGTGGCTGGGACACAAAGCATAAAGCTGTGAGAGCTGAGAAATAAAGCTGGAAAACACAGGTCCCAGATAATGAAAAATCCTGTACACGGAACACAGACTTTATGCTCTAGGCAATGGGGACACCTGGCTATTCTGTGCGTTTTTTAACTTTAAAGATATAGCAAACTACAAAAGAAATAACCATCCACATTCCAACCCGAGGGTTTAAGCAGGGGAGTCCGGTCTGCATCTCAGATGAGTCACTGTGATGGCTGCCTGTCAGCTGTCTGTGTTAGAGCGGAGGTGTCAGAGGCCCCATGAGATTCAGTGGCAGATGCGGGTGAATGAGTGAGGGGCAGAAGGAAAAGTACAAGTACGAACAACTTCCAGGTTGCCAGAGTGGGTGACTAGTAAATTCAACCCCAAAGAAAGAGAATACCTGAGCAGTCACTCCACACAGCGATGAGTGATCTTGCAAAAATATAAATCTGACCACATCACTTGCCTGCTCAAACCCTTCAACGCCCTTAGAATAAAACCCAAACTCCTTACCAGGACTTGCAAGGACTTAAATGATTTGGCTCCTGCCCACCTCTCCAATGTCCAGTCCTTGGGCATGCGCTCCAGCTCCAGAGTCTCAGGGCTCTGGGCTTGTAGTGAGTACCGTCTGCCTGGAAAGTTCTTCCCTTGGCTCTTTAAATGATGTTGATGATAATAACAACAGCAGCAGCTAATATTTATTAATGTTCCTTCTCTTCCTTCATGTCTTAAGAGACACTTTCCCCAATAACTTGCTATTCCAGCTGCATCCCACCCACCACACTCAATGCTCCCTATCATTTCCCCTTATTTCCCTCAAAGCTATTATCATTTTCCATAATTACTGTTATGGACTGAATGTTTGCATCCCTCTCAAATTCCTATGAAGCCCTAATCCCCAATGTGGTGGTATCGGAAGGTGGGGCCTTTGGGGAGCAGGGAGGTTCAGAAGAGGTCATGAGGGTGGAGCTCCAACGAAGGGATTTGTGTCCTTTTAAGAAAGGAAGGGACGAGGGCTAGCTCATGCGCTCTCTCTGCCATGTGAGGACACAGCAAGAAGGCGGCCGTCTGCAAGCCAGGAAGAGGGACTTTACCAAGAACCCAACCATGCTGGCACCCTGATCTTGCCCTTCTTAGAGTCCAGAGCTGCAAGGAAATAATGTCTATTGTTTACGCCACCCATTCTACGGTATTTTGTTATATCAGCCTGAGCAGACTGATCAATGACCTTGTTTTTAAATCAGTGACTATTCAATGTAGAGAGAATTATGTGACCCTCCTGCACCCACCACCTAATTTTATCATAACTGCAGGGTACTGATCTCTGACCTCTATCCCATTACTTTCTGCCTCATTTTCTCAGGCTTCGACCTTACTGACCTCCATCTGTTCCTCGAACCCACAGGCATGCATCTTCTGAAGGGTTTCTACCCTGGCTATTCTGTGCCTGGGATGCTCTTTTCCTATGTTGCCACATGGCGAACTCCCTCTATTCTGCACTTAAACCTCATCTCAGCGAGGCACTTCCAGACTGCTGTTTTTAAACAGCAGCCCCTTCCCATTTCTCATCCTCCTTTCTTGCTTAATTTCTCCCCATGGAGAAATTAAATATTGGGTTGTCGGAAAAGTCATGACGTATTTTTTTCTGTTTTTCGTTGCAAAAATGTGTCATGACTTTTCCGACAACCCAATACATGTCATCATCTGACATCATGTGTTTTACTTCTTTAATTTGTCCATCGGCTTTCTAGCCCCGCTAGAATGAAAAGTCTATGAAAGCAGGAAATTTTGGGCCGTTTGATCCTCCTTTGCCTACAGGAGGGCCTGGCATACAGTAAGCACTCAAAACCTTGTTGAATTCATTTTTGTTGTGGGTATTATTGGATTTAAGTCTTAAAGTCATTGCTTTTATTTATTTGTATAGTTTCTAATCCTTCAAATACACTATAGAACAGGGATTTACAAAAATGATAATGTTGATGATAATAACACTAGCAGCTAGCTTTAAGTACTTATTGTTCCAATGCATTGTTTTAAGTGCTCTGCATAAATTATGGCAATTAATCCTCACAATAGCCTTAAGAGGCAGCAAGGTGAAGTCAACCCAGTGTCTGGGTTCAAATTCTAGCTCTATCATTTACTGGCTGTGTGACCTTGGGCACATTACTTATATCCCACGTGCCTCAGTATTCTCATCTGTAAAGTAAGGACAGTAATAACAATATCTACCTCACAGGACTGTGAATGATACACATTCAATAAACATCACCACCCTTTTACAGATGAAGAATCTGAAGGCTCAGAGAAGTTAAGTAAATGGCCCGAGGTCACACAGCTATTACACGGAGGAGTCAGGGTTTGAACTCAAGTCATAACTTCACTCCACAGATTCCCCTATCCAACAGCTTGGCTGGCTATACTGCTGCAGTTAGGATTCAGAAGCACAACCACAAAATTTGGTTTCCACAAAATTTGAAAAAGTTGGATTTGCAGGCACCCAATTTTCTCCCCCATTTCCCTCTTAATTCTCAAATCCTTTTGGGGAGAGACATGGGGCCTGCGGAGGGACGCTGGGTATTACTGTCACAGTCAGCATCGGTTTCCTTATCTGTAAAACGGGATCTTACCTGGATTAAGTGAGGTCCAGGATGTAAATTGCACCCGGCTTCTCTAGCCGAATTCCCTTCGCTCCCTAACCCTCGCTGGCTGCAATGGAGCCGTGCCAAAGCACTCACTCCCAAACCCTTCCTTCAAGGCCACCCCACTTCTCCCTTATTGTTGGGAAGAAAGATTACTGATTTCTCAGTTTGATTTCATCTCTCCCCTGGGCTCCTATGGCACTTATCACACCGTTAACTGTAGGTTTTCTGTCTTGTCCATAAGACCATGACCACAGAGACCAGGTTTTATTCACTTCGCAATAATCCTGTCTGGTGCTGTATAAATATTTGTCGAGATTAAATCTTTTAGGCTAGTATCTGGCATATAGGACACTCTGAACAAACATGAGTCCCCTTCAGGTTTTCTTAAAAAGAGACATAGGTAAGAAAGAATCACAGTTCATGTGTGCACATTCTAAGAACAAACGCAGTAATTTACTTGTCCTTGAACCCCAGAAAAAGGCCATGGCCATCTATTAGGAAGGTACTTACTGAAGCCAAATTGGGAGCTTAAGAAAAGAACAAAGCCATAAATCGCTCTTTCTGGCAATGGCGACGGTGAATTTTCCACCATTTCCCCTGTGGATTTAGACAATCTGTGGGAAAGAAACACAATCACGCGTCAGTGAGGTACTCCCCTTCACCATTGGTCTGTCATAACCTCATCGCTTCGCTACGGGCACAGCCTCTGCAGTGTTTTTCCCCAGCCTACACTACTGCAAACTGCCATTGTGCGCACACACCTCCAACACACGCCCGCTTGCACACGCACACACCAGCTCCCCAAGCCCCGCGTGCACGCGCACACCAGCCTCACACCTCGCGTGCACGCGCGCACACACGCCAGAGAGCGCACACCCTGAAGTGGTGGGGAGTACGGCCAGGGAGGGCCAGACGCCCCTCCATCTCTGCAGGCTTCGCCTCCCGCCAGGAAGAGCAAAGCAGGGCAGCTAACTACACCCGTGCGGCCTCCCCAGGCCTGGGCCGCGGCGCCCAGTACCCGGCTCTGCCCCTTTGAGGGCCTTTTGTGTTTCATTTGAGGGTGAAGGGTGGGGTGGCCCTCGACCTTGAGTCCTTCAAGGGCCCACTTGGGCCCCTCCCAAAAGCTCGGCTACCTCAGCGCTGAGTCCCTTGCGCAAGCGCCGACCCGGGAGCCGCAGGAGGGTGAGGGAGGAAAAACTAACCCAAGGCCAAGGAAAGACGGCGCCCCCCACCCCGGCGCAAGCGCACCGCGACCCTCGACTGTCTGGAGCT